TAGGTAAGAATTTAATTCAAAAGAGTGACAACTAAATTGTACCAGACACTTTAATAATGAAAAACGAAATGTTATTTTGAAATCAATTTTTTTGCAGTAACTAACTACAGATAGGCATAGGGCAAAGATCAATTCTCGGGAGATATTTAAGGAATATTTAAAGAAAGCACGTAAATTCTTCTTTTTTTCAATTCAATTTCCATACATTTTGATATGAAATTCATAATTAATATTAAATTATTTGGAAACTTAATTAAAAAAGTATAAACAATAGAAAAATTTTTCCTTTAAATATTAAATTTAATAAAGATAAGATCTTTTAACATTTTTTCAAATAAACTTTTTACTTTGTATAAGGGTTGTCATAGTAAGGAGAAACTTTTTTTTTTTACTCAAATTTATGCTCCTTAATTATTTTATACATTAAGTTACAAATTACATTTCCTCGGAAAATAAAGCTCCTTGATATTATTTGAAAATTTTATTATAAAAGTTTTCGTTTTATGAAAAGGAAGAAGGGAAAATGAATATTTTGTTTCTCTCTTTTTAAAACAAGGAGTTGGAAAGGTGAGAATGCATTCATTTTTTTCTTATTTTTTTTGTAATGTTTCTTAAAGGATGAATTTAATTCACCGTATTTGAATAATTTGTAATTTGAAAAATTTTTTCTGCTAAATTATTTAAAATTAAAATGCTTAAGTATGCAGACTTTTTAATGCAATTGCTTGCGTATTATTTGAAGTGGACTTTATAATGTTGATCTTATTATTGGAGGGTAAAGAGTAATTAGTTTGGAGTAAAAGCTAAAGAATAAAACAAAATAGAAGGAGCAGAGAAAAAGGAAAAAATGTTAAATCCTAGGAGTTTATTTATTTGATATCTGTGGAGAGAATGAATATAACGTCATCCCAGATCCTATAAGAATTTGTTCGAGAATTTCATCCTCGTATTGGCGAAATCTTCAAAAGTAGTTCATGGTTAATCATAACTTATGTAAATAGTAGTTCAGTCATCGCAGTAGGAAGACAACTATAATTCTTACTTCTTTTTTAATCGAGTTAAAGAGTTTTTTTTGTCATTTTATAGATTATCTCAAATTGTCTCCGGTAAAAATTGTCAGTTTACTCATTTTGAAGAAATTTCACATAGTAAATGAAGAGAACCAACTTGAAATGAAATGGAGCAGAACACCTCAGGCATTTATATTTTCTAAAGGAAGATTACAGCAAACGGTCTTTGGGAATTGTAAATGGCTATGAAACCTTTCTAATATGTCCTCATGGATAGTGCGAATCTATTATGCAGTACACTCTTCAAGCTCAGTTTAATTAATTTTAATATTAATGACTTAAACTACAACACAAATTTTAAAATATTAAAGAATTAAAATTAAAATTTCCATTTGAATTAAACATTTTAAAGAAATGTAGTGGAAAATGCCTGATATTGCGTTTATATAATGCAGTAATCAAACAAAAAAAAAATCAAATTTCCATTTTTTATACCTCATTATCAATTTACACAAATGATAGTTTTTAATGGGTAATGAATAGGAAAACATTTTAATATACAATTTCATTTTGTTTGGCTTAAGGTTTACTGGATTAAGAATTCATTTTTAAAAATGTTTCCAAAAATAATGAAACTTTTTCTTTAATTAAAATATTCTGATGGAAAGGAAGGCACTACTTTTTATTCCCAAACTTTTTGTTTTATTTTTTTTAACAGTTTTTTATTTATTTATTTATTTTACGGTTTTGTTTTGTTTTAAAAACTTCTTCTTTCTCACTTCCCTCTCTTTTTTGCCCAAAAATTTAACATTTTTCTACAATTATAATACAAAAAGGGGCAAAAAATAGAGAATTAAAATGAAAAGTGGAATAGTGGGTACAAAAATGCTTTGTTTTTATTTTTCTGTAGTCCAACTGAAAAAATAATTGAATTTAAGAAAAGATTTTCAAAAAATAAAATATTCATTTGTACTATTTACGATATTGAGGATAACCGAAGAGGGCAGTGGAAGAATATTTTATAAAGGAATGAAAACTTTTATGAAAAACAAACAAAGAAAAATTTTCAACAAAATATTAATTAATCAGTTGAATAAAAGATTTTTTTTCGTTCTTCCTTTTGTAATTTGAGACTTTTAATTTCAAAAGTAGCCTTGATATATGGTAACTTTTGTAAAATTACTATACTGATAATAGGAAACTGTACCACTGTAGACATTTCACGGTTATTAAAATTGGTTTTCAACTACAGAAAATCTTGTTTTAATCAAATTTCAAAAACGAAGAAATGTTTTTGTTCATTTTTAGCGATTTTAAGGTACATACATATCTTTAAGGTACCTACAGCAGATTAGGTTAGATTATTCCATTTTGACTCCATTAGAAGCAGCCCTATTTCCTCAGTTTAAGAAGTAAAACCCAAGAAAACTCCGCCCGAAGTTCGGCAGCACTAAACACAACAGGCGGGACAGTGTTTCTCTCTCCTCTTCGTCTGTTATGCCAGTTAAACATTATCCGATTAGAACCCTTATAACTTCCCCGATATCCCTTTCGAAGAGATATCAGATCCTTTGAGCTACGGAAGTCTACATTTGGGTACAGATTCTTTATTGCTTTTCTTGTTATTCCATATATGTATAGTACGTGCAGCTGAAAGTTACAGTACGTGAAGCTGGTAAAAAATTTTAAGATTGGTATTCTTGGAATTTTCGCAGTATTTGCGGTGTGTAATTTATTGAATGAAAATTTAAAAAAATTGCCTACTTATGGGAGCATAATAAAAATTTTAGCGTCGCTACTTAAAAATCCGTTAATATTAAAATAAATTTTCTATTTTTATAACCAAATTTATACAAACAAATATTTTCTCAATAACAAATTTTTGAAATTTCATTTATTATTTAAATTTTACTATTAAAAATCCTCATCTAAATTATAACAATGTGTCTATAATATTTAAAATAACAATACTTAAATTTATTAATAATTATTCCACTACAACACAATATGATTATTAATTTGATGTTATTAAGGCTGATGACAGCAATTTAATAACTTAAAATTTTAACAATTCTTAAATCATAATTAAAATTATTGCAATTTAAACACTCAAATTATTATATTATAATGGTGTGCCACTTATATATGGGAAGTACTTAACATCTATTGTGTATGTTAATTAATTAAAATTGAATAATAACTGTTATAAATTAAAATAGTGGTAAATGAAATGAACAATAAAATTGTTATTGAATGGAGAATATATAATAATTTTATTTTTTGAACAGCTATGTCATAATAATTTATTCTATACATTCACATTAACATATACAATTATACATATGAAATATAAGTGAGTGTTATTTCATATTTGCAGTAGTTGATATATTTATGTTCAATACAGAGTATATCGCGACTAATACATGAAATGAATTTCGTATAAATTTTGAGAAAATTTCAGTAACGTAGTCCAATTGATATAACAGCAGTTTAAAATATTTAAGAAAAATTGCATATTTTTAGGTGTGAATTATATATTTCAGTTTTTAATAGTTGAAATTAATTGCTAAGATCCTTTTAAGAGGAAACCTCACTTCACTTCGTTTTTGTAGAAGGTATAATTCACTAAGTAAATGAAAATTTAAATGTTTGCATACATTTAGGAGGAATGCAAAACATGCCATATTATAAAATTGTTATCACAGCAAATTTTAAATAATTTATTATTCAAAAGTAAATGTTTTTTAAAGGGTTTACAGAAAAACCATATAATATTATATAAGAGAAAATATTGACATTTTTTTGACAACTTTTTTTATTTATTTATAATACCAATATGGTTAACGGTAATATTGCTAATTTCAACACATTTGCTTCCTTTATTTTGCCAATTTTTTTTTGTTTTGTTTTCCTCTTCTTTTATTTGTGTGTTTTTTTACCGTATTTCCTGCTGCCGGTTGTTTATTCTCCTTTATATTTTCAATAAAACAAAGTATATGCAAATTTAAATAATATTTGTACACGAATATAAAATGTGATACACGTGTACGAATATAATAACAATATTTAAAATTACGTGAATATATACATATACAAAACAAAAGTATATATTTACCAGATGATCAAGAGAATAGAGGATTTTTACAGTAAATATTTTGGAAAAACAATCAAAATTCACACTTGAAAAGTCAACTAGTTTTGATTGACAGAAAAGTTGTAGAAAATTGGGTGAACATTGGATTATTGCCACGATTAAGGGCCTGGTAAATTTATGGCCAAACAATTGATCGAATACCTTGAAAGAAAACCTATTAAACTTCAACTATTTGTGATCTCTAATCAGCTTAAAAGTATGATCATAAAAATTTATCACAGTGGATCAAATTTAAAGAAATGATGATTAACTAACAGAAAAAATTATGGCACTCTAGAGGTTTATTGTGATATATATCAGATTATATAACATCTCCGAAAGTTGTAGGTACTGTGAATGCAGTACCATTGAACATACCACTTAAGGCCCATGTACATGCTTAAAATTTTATTCGGTACCCCATTTATTATATCATTTAAGCCACTAACGCATATTCGTATATGAAGTTTGGGTGTATTTTAACAAAGACGATTAGGCGACTCTCTTCACATTTCTTATAATTTTCGTATTTCCGTTTCCAATATTTGCTTGTTATTTTTACATTTTTTTCTTATTTAAGACGATTATTAAGACCCCGGTATACGCGAAAATTTATGGAAAAACAAAAATTTCACTTGCGGCATTATTTTGTTTTTTCAATGTTGTCATTAAAATTTCACTGTTGTTTTCAAATCAAAGGAGGTTGGATTAATGGGAAAAAAAGCACAAATACCGCAAAATCAAATAGGAATTTTTTTATCAATTTCAAGTATAAGCGAATTATTGAGTTTAGTGTTGTAAAAAATTTAGATTGTAATTTGATTTTGAGTTTTTAACAGAAAATTTTTAAGACTTACCATTATATTGTTCTTGTTTGTTTGGTTAACAAATATTAAGATGGAGTTGACTATCAATGCGATTATGATATTGTGTGTTAACAGTAGATTTCCGATTTAAGTAGTTGTGATGAATGAAAATGTTTTCATCTATCTTGTGAAATTTTTGTTGTCACAATAGTGCTGGAAAATTGATCTGAAATGTTGGAAAAAAAAAATTAATTTTCAAATTTCAAGTAAGATTTATAAACAATTTAGGGTCGAATTTGGGAAACATAGAAATTAAATTAAATTTGAATATAAATTTGACCATTTTTATTATTAAATTCCATATTTAATTAAGTTTTTAATTATTAAGTTAAGTTTAATTATTAAATTCCATATTTAATTAAGTTGAAATATCAAAGATTAATCAATTTATTCAATTCCTACCGCAATATTGTTATTAAATTTTAGACACTGGAAAAAATAATTTCATTTTTGGAGGTTTGCTTTTACCTCAGGGCTCGTTTTTCTCATTAAGGGGTCAAATTGTTGAAAAAGTTTTAGTAAAATTACATTCTTAAGAAAAAGTACCTTCCCGGTTCCAGAATGTCAGCTTAGATCTGGACGTTCATAAAATCTACCACGAAATATTCCTGATTAGGCTCACGAACCCTATATAAAATCTGTATTTTTCTTATGTATGCATCAGTGTCGTTTACGGGTTTCGGAAAAGTTCATAAGAACGAGTTCATAACCCGATTTATTCTTTAAATAACATTTTGAATTCTAACAACCTTTGATTATACTCTTGATATACTAGGCTAATAAATATGTTCTAAAGAGCCAAAAAGATCATGACTACCTTATATAAATTTAATCCTTTAAGTCAAAATTATTAAAAAAGGAAGGAAAAAGTCAAAAACCCTTACTAAACAGATTTTCAAATTAAAAATTATTTTGTCCGGATTGATTTCAAAAAAACATAACCTCATAACATGACAAAAATAATAATAAGAAAAAAACAACACACAATGGGCAAGTAAGACATGAAAAATAACCCTTCACTTGGCTTTCTTTTATTTATTTTTTTCTTTTATTCGGAAGGAAACAATTTAACCAGCTGGAGAGAAGATTTTTCAAGTCCATTTTTTAATTCGGTGTCTCTTTCTTTTTTTATTTATTACATTTTTTTATTTCCTGGAGAAAAGGAACTTTTTTCATTTGTAAAAGAAATTTTTTTCCATTTCATCCCGTTATCCTTTATTTTCATTTATGATAAAGGATTCTGTTTCGAATGCATAAAAAGAATATTTTATTTTTTGTGTGTCTCTTTTATAATTTGAAAAAGAAACATTCATTTTTTTTCTCTCTTTTGTAAAAGGATCTTCTAAATTTTCAACTTATTTTCCAATATAGAATTAGTTTTACAATGTTTAACCTGAGGACGTTTTCAAAATGCAAAAGATTTATTTATTTTTTTTCAAAAAGTTGAACGAACAAGCTTCTCTTAATGAATTGTGGTCATATATAAAACTGTAACCAAACAACAATACTTATTTGTTGACTTTTTGTGAGAGTGCCATATCAAGAACAGAGGCATACTTCAGGTTCTTTTTGAATTTTTTATGTTTGTCGAGTCTATAGCGGCGAAAAAGTACCTTATTTTTTATTAATTTTATATCTGAATTTTATTAAATATAAACAGAAATCCCTCGCCATCCTTTTCGAATCTGGAGTTATAGACCAAAAACAGGAGCATACTCAGGAATTTTTTATTTCTTGGAGAAATCTTTGCAAATAGATTTTAGTCAAATTTAATTTGGGAGCTCTGTTGATGATGAAAAATATTTGGATAATTTTAATGATCGTGTTTCGGTCCCACTTGCATTTTTCGAAATATATGGTAATATAACCGACTTATATGGTGAATTTTATTGAAATTTTTTTTCGAATGTTATTAATAGAAAGGGGTTACTTGCTTAACGGCCCATGAAATTATGGCTAATAGACAAGTACGGATTTTACATACAAATGAGTTATCGAAAACTAACAATTTAGTCTAGTTTTGTCTTTGGAATTGTGACATAAAATATGTTGGCTTCAATAGTTTAAATCTGAAGGAAAATATTAGCTCTAATATACAGTAAAGATACTCTAATTCTAAATTAGAGAGACAGAGAGAGCAAAACAATAGAAATTATTTGCCAATCAAATTGAAAATGAAGTATAGAATTTTTAGATTGCTTTACAAATCCAAATTCTTACAAATACAACAATAACAATAATTATCCATGTAAGCTTATATCTATACAGCTTCCCATAACGATTCTAAAACGTATTTCTTTTAATAATCTTTAAATCTATTTAGTTAAATCTATAATGTGGTATAAAAATAACAATAAAAATTAAAGTATATACAATCATTTTTAACTATTTAGTTGTTCTTGTTTTTTTATGTTTAACAACTTTTATGTATTTGTTTTTTGGTTGTACAACTTTAATAGAAATTATAAATCTTATTTTTAGAGAAACGTTAAATATCCTAAAGCTTTAACAATCCATAACAATAATATTACATAAATCCAAATGATCCCATTGACATTGTTATACACAATTGGGGCACAAATTGTGTTTTAATCCTATATACACTTGTACTATACACTCATTTATATAACAACATATTGTTCTTGCAAAAATATAAAATGTTATGCGAATGATTGTATGAATGAATGTGTTTTTATTGACAACTGTACAGTTCTAAATGCCGTTATATACTTATATGTATATGTAGATTAGAATTAGACATTAAAGAATTTTACCATTTAATTTATTGTAAACGAGATGAGAAAAAAAAAGTTCTTCTTGAAAATTTTTCATCTTTAAATTCTTAAATTAATCTTTAATATTGTTAAAAAATAAAAGTACTTTTAAAATCTTGTTCGTAAGTAACTTAATTAAAGCAATAAGAGATTTTCATTTATCTGTGAAATAAAACTTTGAAAAGTAAGTGTTCTACGTAATGAACTGTAAATGATCTAAAAGTTTTTTTTAAATATTTCGGAATTATTTAGTATAATGGTTTTACTTTTATTCCATTGTGTATTAAGAGTGGCAAAAGACTTAATTTTAGTTAATCAGTAGAACAATTTAATTGTTGAGTACAAAAGTTGATAATGAAGTTTTTTCTTGAGTTTTGAAATTGTTTAGAACAGTGAATTACTAATAATAACATATTGTAAAAGAATATTCTTGTATAAAGCGCCATCTACTAGCTCTTACAGGCAACGAAATGACGTTGTTGGTACTTCAATCGTATAAAGTGATATCCAAGTTGGTGTTGAGCTGCCTATTCATAGGTTTGATGTTTACTTTGTGGTTTGGCCTTGAAAAATAGAGGGATATTCATTTTGTTCCTGGATGCGGTCGACATTAGAGCAAAATAATCCTTAGGAAATGATTTAGGGAAGTTCGACGTATTAATCATGTAGCATATCCTTCTTTGTAGATTTCAATATACAATAAATCCTAATTAGGAAAGCAATCGGACCCTACATGAAAGGTCTAAAGGCGAATGTTTCTGTGTGAAAATATTTCTTCCACCATACCCTAGCTGGTTATATCTAGATCATGCTGTTTACGCAACTTTTACAGTCATAAATTTCGTCAATTTTGGATTTCGAATATTTCACAAGCAAAACAGAGTGTCGAATTCATCACATTTAAATTTTCATCAGGCAACACAAGTTTAACAATACAATAATTCCTTTAGAGTATCTTCATCTCGTTAAATTCCCAACCTGATCAAAACTTTACATAAATGGCATTTTTTTTCAAATTTTTCAATTTGAAATTTTTTTTTTTTTCAAAATTCTTGCGACTGTAGATTTGGTGATCTACCTTATAAATAACATTGTCTTCTATTAAATTCAAAAAATTTTTACAACAATTTAATCGGACTTTAAAGTATTTTAAGGATTTTGTACAATTTCTAGAAAAAAAGAAAATAAATTCAGAATTCATATGTGAAAGTTAAAAACATGTTGCCTTCAACAACATTTTTACGTGTTCAAAAATTTGGATTAAGTGATTTTTATTCCAATCTTGTTATACTCTTGACTAGAAATGCGAAGTAAATGAGGTCTGGTAATAGTTTTTGTGGTTTCAACCAAAAAAAAAAAGTTGAAACCACAATTGATTTCTGTTGCATTTTCTGATAAAAAAAAATTCTTTTTAAAAATATTTTTTATTTAAATTTTTTTTTTTTTAGAAATAAAATTCTTCTATGGATTTCGTATCTAGTTTTAAAAGGATTCTCTAAACGGTATTAGAATTAAATAAATAAGTTTCTTTTTTAGTTTGATTTATTTCATTTGATGAAATGGAAAGGATAATATGTAAGGACAATCTTTAATTTAATCAACATTAGAAAGTTTTAATAATTTTAAACTAAATGGGGAAATAGAAATTTCTTTACTTTTAATCTTGCGATGATTTCATTTAAAAACTAGTTTATCAGTGTTGCATTGAATAAATAATTGAAATATTTTCAAATTAACTGTACCATAATTTAAGAAATTTTATCTATTTTTTATTAAGTTGATCAGAAAAAGCCAAATTATTAATATATTAGACTTGTTTTTTGAGATCTGGCATATTAGTCTCGATATCATTGCAGTCAGTCTTATTAATTTAAATGAATCTTATATTTCTTGCCATATATACCTTATTTTTTGAGGAATTAATTAATACTACACAATGTGTTGTCTCTTAATTCCTCAAAGGATTCAATTTTCTCTATGGCGCAATGAGTTTTTGTTGCTAAATTCCATATCGAAATTTAATTATACACGCCAGAGGAAGTAAAATTATTTTTTCAATTTTTTTTTATAAATTCTTATAGATTTCCCGAATAACCTATATAAATACTTAATTTTATGAAAACATAATCGTATATATTATATTTAGTGTTAAAAACCTTGGTTAAAAATAAACCTTGGCTTATATTATTCCACCTCATTTAATTCATATAGTAGTGTTGATTAAGGACTTGATCAAAATTCATACAGCGTATTGGTTAATGCAATTCAAGTGTGAGAAAATAATTTAAAAATTTTAAAATTCTATACATTATTCGCTTCTCTCTAGTATCTCTAGCATCTCTCTAGTACATTCCATATGCAAATATGCAAATACATTTTTATTTTAATTTT